AAAAATATAATGACATCAGCAGTGCAGCGCAAGGTATACAGTATCCAGTTGTTTTTTCATCAGAGTTGTGTTTACCCACTTCTTAATCATAATTAAGTTTTTTTTCTGTCTCTGATTGGTTAATACTCCTAGCCTTCACTGGTTGGGTTGCTTAGGATTTGGTATGACAGAGAACTATTTCCTAACTTGATCTGGGCTCTCAGTTATCTGTCAGCAGCACCTTGACAATCTTTGATTCCCTAAAGCTGGTTTGTGAACATGTATTTTGAATTGTGTCAAAATCAGGTTAGAAACATTTTATTTCGTAAATTGTTTGTGATTCTGAAAGTTTGTCAAAATAAACTAATATCTAACTGAAATACAACTTGAATATATTCATGTTTTGGGCCTGTGCAAGGTCACTAGTATTTCCAAACTGTCCCTTAACAAACAATGTTACTGTTTTAACGATGGCACTCTCTGCTGCAAATCAGCTGTTCGAAGACAGCTGACCTATAAACTTGCAAGGTGAGAGAATAGTTGCTCGGTTATCATGTGAAGTGACTATTGGATGAGAAAATATCTATTTAAAGTGAATAGTGATGTAGTTTTCTCAGCCTGTAGTCTGTGGGTGAGTATTGACTGTAAAATTTGCACCTCTTCTGTGTCTAAGGTTTATTAAAGATCCTTAGTCCCTGATGTGAGCTGCAAACTGACAATGCCGGATACTACTGGCTATTTTTTTGGGTGAATGAAATATGCAAGATTTCTCTTACATATTTATATCAAAATGAAGCGTACACCTGCTAATCCAGGTACACTACTGAACTAACTCTCCGACACATTTAGGGGAAAGCAAGTGTGCCAGCTTCGATCTAGTTAGAGATAATAAAAGGCATTCAAAAGTTTTAGAATTACGTTAATTCCAGCTGTATAGGTATTTGGGTTCAGTAAGTCAGAATGTTCTCTGTAAGAGGAAGAATTTGCATCCTGGCCGTTATTATTAATGACAAGACAACAATGTCTGACCATTAACCTCCCTTCACTGATCCTTCACCTGTGGACATCTAGCTGGTAGTTGACCATCTCAGCGATGGTCTGAGCATCTGCTGCAGATCCGGACAGCGCGCAGTAGATCCGGTCATGGAGGGGAGACAGCTTGTTCATCACCCTGTTCACCACTGTTGCCCTGGATGGAGGCAAGAACACACAGAGTGTGACTGTAGGAGAGGAAGTTAAATAGAGGGAGGATAGAATAAGACACTAAAAAGAAACGCAGAGAGAAAGGATTTCAGATAACTGTTTTAGAACCTAAACAATATCTGGTGTCACAACCCAGACAGCATTATGTAGACAGAAGTGGATACATGCGCAAAAGCACGAACTTACCCAGCGGACACTCTGGAATCAGACCCCAGCACGACCCCACCGGCAAACTCTATGGCAATAATGGTTGTCTACGGACAGAGGTAGATCAACATTCACTATGAATCCCTTGTCATTGTTGCTGTAATTTCCGCATGAGGCCCAGCAGCAGCACTGGTGCGCAGCGCACATTCACACATTAACCACCAAGTGTCCAAAACACGTTAAAATCTGATACTTACTCCTGTTGTCACCTCCTCGGTCGTCCATTCTGGCCCCGTTTCTCCCAGCATGGTGATGCACTGCAGAGGCTCCGGTACCGACAACACCGACAGTGTGATCTGATCAAACGTTCAGTCGAGCAGCTCCGATTTCAGTCTGTTGTCCTGTTGTCGAAAACGTAGTTTATAGTTCTAAATCTGTTTTCGACGCGTTTAGTTTAGCAAATCGAGTCGAGAGTCAAACTTCAGACGGACTCCATGTTTTTTTTTTTTTGATGAAATCGAAATTGAAAGTTAAATTGTTCCTCCGCTGCACCGAGCTGCAAACTGCTCCGAGCCTGTGTTTCAAACAGCTGAGTTTCAGTGAATTAATGCAGTCTGCTTCTCTAAAAGTGCGTTTCAGCTGAATTGTGAGGCACATGAAACACTGTATATATAGTCGTTCCTCCCATTAAAGAAGGAAAAAAAAAAAAGAGCTGTCACTGAAATAAGTTGAAGTTGACAACAGTAATAATAAATTAAAAAAAATTGAAAATCATGACATTGCTTTTGAATTGTGGTTCAACAGATACACACACACGTGTGTGTGTGTGTGTGTGTGTGTGTGTGTGTGTGTGTGTGTGTGTGTGTAAAACAAAAAAAACAAGCAAACAAGCATGATGGGATCCATAAACTAATATTTAGTTGAACAACCCTTTGAGTCAATCACTGCAATCAAGTGTTTTCTGTAGCTCTCAATCAGACTTCTGCACCTGTTGACAGGTATTCTGATTTTGACCCACTGCTCATCAGCACAGCGCTCTCATTTATCTGGGACAGTTTTGTTTGTTTTTTAAAATTATTCTTTTTCAACCACAATTCAAAAGCAATGTCTTATTTCACTAAATTAGAATTTTATAATTTAGCAAATTTTTATTTATTATTACTTTTTTCAGTTCCTAGTTATTTGAGTGACTATTGTGAATTTTGCCTTTTCTTTAATGGAAGGGTCTGAATACATTTGAGGACAACTGTATATATTCATATATATACATGGTTGAAACTGAAAGTTTGCATACACTGTATAGTTATTTTTTCTCACTGTCTGACATTAAATCAGACTAAACTTTTCCTGTTTTAGGTCAGTTAGGATTACCAAAATTATTTCTGTTTGCTTAATGCCAGAATAATGAGAGAGAGAATTTTTTAGAAGAAGCCATTACTCCAAGAGCAACATAAAAATGCCAGATTACAGTTTGCAAATGCACACAGGGATAATGACCTTAATTTCTAGAGACATATCCTGTGGTCTGATGAAACTAAAATTGAACTGTTTGGCCATAATGACCATCGTTACATTTGGAGGAAAAAGAGGGAAGCTTGCAAGCAAGTACAGGGGTGGCAGCATCATGTTGTGGAGGTGTTTGCTGCAGGAGGGACTGGTGCACTTCACAAAATAGATGATACCATGAAGAAATAACATTATGTGGAAATATTGAAGTAACGTCTCAAGACATCAGCCAGGAAGTTAAAGCTTGGGTGCAAATGGGTCCAAATGGACAATGACCCTACACATACTGCCAGATTAGTTACAAAGAGGCTTCAGGACAACAAAGTCAGTGTTTTGGAGTGGCCATCACAAAGCTCTGATCTCAATCCTGTAGAAATGTATGGGCAGAGCTGAAAAGGCCAACAAACCTGACTCAGTTCCACCAGTTCTGTCAGGAGGGATGGGCCAGAATTCATCAAACTATTGTGAGACGCTTGTGGAAGGAAACCCAAAACGTTTGACCCAAGTCATACAGTTTTACCCTATTCAGGACTTTCATGTTGCCATACGTAGAAGGTCTTTCAGGGTCCACTGGACCCCAAGAAAGAATATGTGCAAAATATTTGTTGGTATTCATTCTAGACTTTTACACTATGTTAAATAAATTTCCTGATAAGTTGACATATTTTTGGTTCCAAATGCATGACAAATGTCCCTCTTTTTATGTTTAAAAAAAATCGTCAAAAATAAAAAACAATACCTGTCACCTAAACCAAATGGCCTGGGGTCCAAAAGACCCCAAAAGTCCTGAATAGGGTCAAAGGCAATGCTACCAAAAGCTAAGGAAATGTATGTAAACTTCTGACTTTGAAGAAAGTAATAAAAAATCTTGAAAAAAATTGGTAATCCTAACTGAGGAAACAGGAAAAATTTAGTCAGTTAATGTCAGATAGTATGAAAAAAAAGGTTATGTGTCTCTTCATACAGGGTATGTAAACTTCTGGTTTCAACTGTGTCTGTGTGTGTGTATGACACAACTTCACTGATTAAAAATCTGCATTTAACAGTACTAAACTTCCTTCCACGTACTTTACTTTGGCAGAAAATTAATTAAACTGACTCCCCAGATGTAGTCATGCTTATTTGAGTTACCTGGGGGAAAAATAAGTTGACACAGAGTACGAAGAAATTATATTTCTATATTTTCTTATCATTTCTGAGCTTAAAACTTAAATAAAGACAGAAAAGAAGAATAATGAGGCTTTGGAAAATGCTTCATTTATTTCCCATACAGTCTTACAATTACAAAAAAAGAAAGAAAACAACACAAAACATGTGATCTGGACAGTGAGTGGTGAGCGCTAAAACTACTCTGCTTATCATAATAACAGACTCAAGATGTTTGACTGCACTGCTTCCCCATAAGTGTTTCTTAAACAAAAAAACTAACTTGCTTTCTGTGTGTCTGAATTAAATTGAATTTGTTTCATCTCAGTCCTACACAAATTAACAATACAAGTGAGGCTAAGGAATGGTGGTTTGAAGGCCGGATGTGGGATGGCAGTCACTCATCGTGGAACCTGGGCAGTTTGTCACCAGGTACAACAACATGCTCCACCCCCGTTTCCGTGATCACCACCAGGTGGGCCACGCCCCCGCTGACGTTATCTCTGCCCATCGCCAGAGCAAGAGCTGTGGGAGGAGGAACAGAGGGATGAAGCAAAGGGAGGACAGAGGAGGGAAAACAGGAATAAAAGGAAGCAAAAAATATAGGTTAAGTTGAGCAGGCAGACACAGAGCTCCTAACTCTAACTGCTGAGTCACCATCAAACATTAAATTGTGTTTAAAAATTGATTTCCATTTTATACTTAACTCTAAATACAAACAGATGTCCTTGTCTTATAAAACAGGCCCTTCCATGTCTAACCACTGATCCTAGCTTCACTTTAAATACTTGGGTCATGTGATGACAACTGAGTCATCTGAGCAAACTCTGTATCCTGCTGAAGACCGTAAGATGTAGCTAAAACCTTGAGTCAAGATTTTTACATCAAACTCTCATCACATTTTTAACCATGAGCAAAGCACTGCTATTATCAGGGGAACTCTAGTAATCTGAAACATTTCTGAGGTTGTCTTTGATCCTAATTCCGTATGAATCTTCCATGTTTGTAGTCTGTAAAGTAAAAATTACCCTGCAAATTACTGTAACCATAGTTTGCCAAAGAAAGAGGTCGTACGATAGTCTTAGTCCTGCAAATTAGCATTTTCTGCTTCTTCCTGACTTAAAAATTATGGAGGCTGCATTTGGTGATTATAAATGAAAGTTTGGAGCATTTCTGGTGCTAATTCAGGAGCCTTGTGTTGCTGTACAGCATGCAGACTGTGCACAGAAAGAGCACATCCATCAGAGGAGTGAAATCTTCAAGGATAACTAGATGAATGACATGGATTAAAGAATGTTTTGCTGTCCTTCAGCCGTCTCAACAGGTGTTTCATCAGCCTAAAATTAACGTCAGGAAATTCAACTAAAACACAGACCTTGCTAATTCTGTGCACAGATGTGGGTCGGGGGTTATTTCTAACTCACAAGATCCTCAAATAAATACTAATCACGTGCAAACAGAGATAAACCCAGTGAATATACTGAGCATGAATCTTAATTTTCTTCTATACAATGTTTCATAGTCATTCATTTTCATGGAATCAAAATCAAGTTTAACTTTCTCAAATTCTGACATAAAGATCCTGACAAAGCAAGTACACGTCATTTGTTATTTGAGTTTGTGTGTGTGTGTATATATATAAAAAGCATATATACATAATATATTATTGTAAAGTAACCAGTACCATTAGTAGCAAACTGTAGGCATTCCTCTCTGCTCATGTTGGGTTTGTATTTAGCGTCAACGTAGCCGTAGATGTAAGTGCTGCCTGAGCCGCCGATGGTAACAGGCTGACTGATTAACATTCCACCTAGAGACACGACGTACACCTGAAGAGGAACAGAGAATATCAGTTGTGCCGTTACGAAGCAAAGTGGACGTAGTGTCAGCATCAGCGTCTCTGAGATGTTTGACTGCGACCTACCTGCGGTCCTTTCTTCTTGTCCCAGCCTGCCGTCATGAAGCCGGCCTGCAGCTCCTCTTTGTTTTTGTAACACAGTTCTTTCAGCACCGATGCTGCTGCTATCACCAGAGGAGGGCTCTCCATCTGGACACTGTCGGTAATCAAGAAAGATCAGAGACCCCCAAACTTTATTTCTTATTTTGTAAAGCTCAGGGCAGCAGGTGCGGTGGCTAGCACTGTCACCTGACAGTTAGAAGGTCCTGGGTTCAATCACAGGTCTGAGATCTTTCTGTGTGGAGTGTGTATGTTCTCCCCGTGCAGCGTGGGTTCTCACCAGGTTCACCCGGGTTCCTCCCACAGTCCAAAAACATGTTGAGGCTAATTGGTGATTCTAAATTGTCTGTAGGTGTGAATGTGAGTGTGCTTGTTTGTCTCTCTACGTGGCCCTGTGATAGACTGGTGACCTGTCCCCTGCCTTCACCCTGAGTCAGCTGGGATAGACTCGAGCCTCCCCCGAGCCTACAGAGGATCAAGCGGTGTATAGATAATGGATAGATGGATGAAGGGATAGATGTATAGCCCAAGAGTCAGCGTGACATGTGTGTTTTCTGTATGTGTCTGGAGATTTGGTTGAAAAACAGCTAAAGTGGGATGATTAAAATAATACTTTAATGTGAAATTTGATGCATGCATTTATTCTGCGTGAATGTACACATACCTGTGGAAGGACAGGTGGAACTTTGCAGATTTGATGACGGCCTGAGCGTCTGCTAGAGAACCAGCCATGCAGCAGAAGATCCGGTCGTGAACCTGAATCACCTTGTTGATGGTCTTAGATGATACATATTCCCTGAACAAACCCACAGTGCAGACAGACCTCTCAGATAAACCTCACATATGAGCACAGAGATGTTTATTTCTATCTAATCATGGAACTCTTGATATTTTAATGTTACAGTGGTTGTTCAAGTATTGGACCAGTTTGCTTTCTTGGTTCTCTGTTTTCTCCCACCAGTTCAGCGTCTTCCTGCAGGTCTTTTTGTTCTGACCTCTCCTGACTAACCCGAGTGAACGATGGGCAAAAGTGCAGGAAAGTGTCCAACATCTGTCTGTCAAGTTGCCACACCACTATTCACCTTTTAGGCAATCATTACACTTTCATTCAGGTTCAAACTGTTGCATGTGTACAGTGACAATAACACAAATATATGCAAGTGTTTATTCATTTACATGTGGCCAACTATGAAAATGAATGCTGGCTTCGTCGGTGGTGGGAGACAGATTCAGATACCTTTACTTGAGTAAAAGAGGTAATGCTAGACTCACAAATAGACTACAAGTAAACATTTTGCAGTCAAAATGTTAAATGAGTAAAAGTATGTAACATTAACAAAGTGAATGTAGATTCAAGTATTCCCAGCAATGAGAAAGTGGCCCTGTTAATGTTACAATATACAGCACTGCATTTTTATGCATTACCAATGCATCAGTGCTTAGGGGCCATTTTCTGTTGTGTATATAGCAGAAGCTAATTTTAATAGATTTTTTTTATACCAAAATCTATAACAATGCATTATCAAAGAGTCCATCTGCTGCATTTTATGTATGTTTTTATGTATTTTATTTAGTATGTGTTGTGTTTAGTAATAACAGCATCCTCACCCTCCCATTGAAGCCCTCGAGTCTGACCCAATCACGACCCCTCCATCAAAAATGGCAGCCAGGATGGTGGTCTGAGGGACGAGAGAGTGATTACTGAAGCAATGACATTATAACCAACAGTTACGCTGCATCACAGGTAGGCGTGTCTATCATGGCTTCATGCCTGAAGACTGAACCAGGCTATGAATTCTGGGATTTAGAGTTCTTTGACGGAATGGCTCGTGTGGGGCTTTAGACTGAAAATTCAAGTGTCGCCAGTCGTTTCTCTTCTTAGAAATATGAAAAATAAACATATTTACAGTTAACAGGCAAACATTTACTCATAAATAAATCCGCTGAGTATCAAAACGATGTGATTTCACCCTGTTTAGGTTACTTTTCAGGTACAGCATCTCTACCTGCTCATACACAAAATCATCGATCATTTTATGCCCAGTGATCTTTGTGCTACATCAGCAGGCAGAAATTCTAGTGAACCGGTCCGGATTTACTCACCCCTGTGCTGACTCCTTTGACTTGTGAGTCCGTGCAGTGTTTCTCCATTTTCACTCCAAAATCGAAAGAGAAGGAAGCAGAGCTGACGCTCAGAACAGCGACCTCAGGCGCACCGCGACGCGCAGAGACGCACAGAGACGCGCACTCACATCCAGAATGGCGCTATCAAATGTCCTCGAAACTCCGTCAGCCGGGTTTAATTTCGACAACGCGGCGAGGTATGAACTTCTTTTGTGTCTTCCGAGCAGAATAGTTTATCTGTAATTACTAAAACGCAATGAAACAGTTGGATGCACAGAATTTTCACCGGGCCGAAAACGAAAGTAACTTTGTCCTGCTTGTTTATTAGTTTAATCAAAGGAACAATACAGTGATGGTGCGTTGAGTTGTCATTAATGTCCATCTCCTATCCCCTGTCTGTAGGAATACTGCATTAGAGGGACTGTTTGACGGAGGACAGACACCAAAACCTCTGAAAACTGGCACCACCATAGCAGGAGTGGTGTTCAAGGCGAGTGTAACTGTGGTTTAGAGTGCGTTGATGCTGATATGTTCATGAACCCAAACAGTGAGTTTTCATGGTTTAGTTCTTAGATTCAACTTTTGGTGTCTTGCAATGATTTCAAAAGCATACCAAACATATGTTTAGGCTTTTTATACAGTCACTTATGGATTTATATTCTTTAGTTACAGAATGCCAAGTTAAATCAACAAATACAAACACACTGGCATGGTTCAGTGGTCCCATCGTACAGAAGCACTGTGTGTGTGTCTTACAGTTCCCTAAACAACACATCATTCATCTATGTGCATATTTTCACACACATGCTACATGAGATTTACAGTCATGTAGCTGAGAAGCTCCACTGGAGCAAATGAGATTTTAGCGACTTTTTCCAGGATAGTTGCATGAAACATTTAATCTATGGAGCCGTTATCGTAGTGCTTGCCAGGCACATAAATATAATCTGGTACGAAACTCAGTTACTAAAATCCTGATTTGTCTGTGTTGATACAGGATGGGGTGGTTCTGGGCGCAGACACAAGAGCTACCTCCAGCGAAGTGGTGGCCGACAAGATGTGTGCCAAGATCCATTACATCTCTCCGAATATATAGTAAGTTTTATTATTGTTAGACTGAAACCACGAGAGAAGAAATACCCTCACATACAATTATCCGAATGCCCTGCAGCGACCTTGTATTAAAGGTTGAGGTTTTCCACATATAAACAGTAACAGGTGGAAAGACAAGAGACAGTATCTTATTGTTCAAAGAAAAAACATTGACATGCTACTGATGAGATAATGCAATGCAAAACACATTTTGCTCTACTTTTCCCTCTTTCTGTAACCTTTCCTTGTCTGGCTTATCAATTCTGTTCTCTTATTTTCTTTGCCTCCCATCATCTGTTCTCTCATAATCTCGTCTTTCTTCCTCTGTCTGTAGTTGTTGTGGAGCAGGCACAGCAGCAGACACACAGAAAACCACCGAGCTTCTCTCCTCCAACCTCGCCATCTTCTCTCTGAACAGCGGGAGGAATCCTCGTGTCGTCATGGCCGTCAACATACTGCAGGACATGCTGTACAGGTTTGAGCTGCAAATGCACATGAACCTGTATCAAGAGTTGAGAGTTAACCATTAGTTAGGATATTAAAGGTATATAAATTGTTCAGAAATGTGTGGTGTTAATCAGGAAACATGTTTGGTCTCCGGCCCTCAGGTATCACGGCCAAATTGGTGCCAATCTCTTACTGGGTGGAGTAGACTGCACTGGGAACCACCTCTACACAGTGGGGCCGTATGGAGATTTAGACGAGGTTCCTTACCTTGCAATGGGTACGTGACACGTCTCTGTTTATTACCACTGTGTGTATTATATACACATGATATTATATACACAAAGAATCCAAGAACACACAGTCATGTGTGTTCTTGGATTCTTTGTTAATGGATTGTTTGTGATGTTCTTTCTCTGGCTGTTCAAACAAATAAAATCATGTTCTACTTTATAGAAAATGTCAGATTACGACTTTATACCTATTTCATTTGGCATTTTATATTTTGTTGTGCTGCAGATGTGTATTTCATTCACTCTCTGGCTACATCCAGTCTGTCTTTCAGCTGACTTTACCTCGTGTTGTTGCAGGATCGGGTGATCTGGCAGCTCTTGGGATTTTAGAGGACAGATTCAAACCCAACCTAGAGGTACGACACTTTACAAACACTGCTGTTCATAATTTGAAATTTTTGATCATTTAAACTTGATTGCAAATTTATTGTACTCAGTTTTTTGTCTTTAAATGAATTATTGAAGTGGAACAGGACTCCAGACAGAATAATTCTCTCTCTGTGTTAATACAAACAAATGTTGAAAACAGTTCATTCTCCTCCTTATTACATATTTTCTGTTACCAAACAGAAAAACAGAAGGACCTTTGAGAGAAGCTGCAGCTGAGTTTTAAAACGGATGGATGCCTCTGTCTTCTTCTTCATGTTCTGTATTTCTGTTTGCTTCACTCAATGTCGGTGTCTCTTAACTCTCTCAGCTGGAGACGGCGAAGGAGCTGGTCAGAGCTTCCATCCATGCAGGCATCATGAGCGACCTCGGCTCAGGCAACAACATCGACATCTGTGTCATCACCAGAGAAGGAGTGGATTACATCAGACCCTACCAAGAGACAGAGTACAAAGACAACAGGTAAATAAATGCAACTGTATTCAAGATTTTCTCTCTGGACAGACTTTTACAAGATGTCTGCAAATCAGATTTCCCTCTCAGTGACTCTGTCCCTCACAGTGTGATCGTGCAACTTTCAATATGCTTATTTGGGACTGAACCACTGAGGTTTATCATTCTTGAGCAACTTATCATTCTAAAAACAAAACCTATTTTTTAATTGTATTGGTGACAGTCCGCTCGGCTTTGCTGCAAGTGTCATATCAGTACAAAGTAGATGATGCAAAGTAAGGAAGTTAACATGGCCTGTAAGTTTTCCATCAGCTTTCCTCAACATGCAACAATATAAATATAGCAAAACCCAGTATGTGCCTTTTTCTCATTCAGTGAACTAAAGGAAACTTTGATTGGGGGTCACATGTTTTGTGCATGCAGTGATTCTACAACATACTGAGAAACTAAATCAGAGTATATTTTATTCTGTATAACTGCTAAGCTTAATGATTCATCAAATTTATAGAACATATAGCGGAAAGATTTTCTGAATCAGTGTCAGATTTTCTGTAAAATAACTCCTGTGTTTTGTTAAAATCTCTTTATTTTTGTTCTAGGAAAATGAAATACAAATATCGTCGGGGCACGACACCGGTTCTGACAGAGAAAGTAGTTCCCTTAAAGCTGGAGGTTGTTCAGGAGACTGTGCATCAGATGGATACAGCCTGAGCTGACACAGACACCACAGCATTTAGCAGTTTCTCTGATTTCCTCTGATTTCTTTCATTCAGTTATAATTACAGATTTGAAATGTAAGTAGTGACAAAACAGTTTATAAACATTGTCATCCTGTTTTCTGCTGCTGCGTTTCACTGTGATGTGGATGTGACATGTTTACAATATGGAAAACTGATGAATAAAATCCTGTATAAAAACTCTTGTTGCCTTGTTTCCTTCTTGTGTTTAATAATTAATTGCCAACTTTTGGATTAATACCCAACCTACTTATAATATCAGACCTAATAGAAAGCAAGTTAATGTGCTGCATGTTGTGTTAATTTATGTCAGACTAGATCATTAACATATCATTAACCTGTATGCAGTAAATAGTGTATTTTTATGAATTCCTGAAACCTGATTTCTTCATTTCCGCTTAGAGACTGATGATGAGAAAAACACAACGCCCTTCTATTGGCTAGGAAGGTTTCGAGCCATCTTCGATATGATATCTTTTAGTTTAATTTATTAAAGTTGTGATTTTAAAATACTGCCGAGATTAAGGTTAATTGTCAAGCTTCTGTTTTATATTTCGGACTATTTTTACATGCTATTTTAAAAGAAAGACGTCGGTGAAGTAGTTTTTAAAACCCTTTCACTTTCGAATTCTTTGTCACGTAGAAGGAAACAATCTTTGGCGCTGTCTGTCGCTTCTGTCGTTTTGGAAAACTCGGCACCTACACTAAAGAATAGAGTTTACCAGCTTTAACGCATAATGGCACTTTTTGATTTAAGTGGCTTTAAGTCTTATTCTGAGCTCCGCGGGCAGATTTTTCCAGCAACACAGACGCATCTCATCGACCGAACCAGCCACTACAGCTTTGGGACCAAAACTCAAGAATTTGCTGTACCTCTGGGTGTGGAGGTAAGTATCATTTCACCACACTTGGATAAGAAATGACTGCACTGAATCTTATCCGGTGAACCTGCATCCAGCATGAAGCGTCACACGCAGCTTGGTTCAAGTTACTTTACGCGTCTCTTCTTCTCAGTGTTTGGTGCGTCTTTGCCGTCTTTTATGAAATCATTAATTGATCTCAGTTATCACGAGTTTTAGGTTACGATAAATATCACACTCGCACTTTCTCCTCCACGTACATTGCCCTTACAGATCATGCGTCCCATTATAAGTTTCATTTCGATTACTTTGCAGCCTTCAGGGTTCCTGAAGTCCTGCAGCCGTGATGGGGGGGTGAGCATCAACCTGAACCACGGTACCACCACCCTGGCCTTCAAGTTCAGACATGGAGTCATCGTGGCTGTGGACTCCAGAGCCTCAGCTGGCAACTACTTGGGTAAATATAGTTTCCTACTCCAGACCTAGAGGAGGTTCAAAACAGTGGAATGTAGCACAAAGTTGATCAAATTGTAGTAAAATTAGGTTATGCAACCTGTCATTTGGCCAATCAGCTGCTGCAACAAAAAGGAAGAGTTGACAAGACCCAGTAAACATGTTGTCCAACCACCTTTAATGTATGACACATCCTATCAAAATCTAATCATCAACTTAAGTAACACAAGCCTCAAACAGATGTGGCACTTTTAATGTAGGGACTATGAAATAAAGAGATAGCCAACTAAATATGATTTACAGTCAACACACAAAAAAGTGGCTCTAACGGATTTAATGTTAAACCCCTGTG